GGGAAAGAGGAGGAGGCGAGAGCAGGACTGTATATGGATATGGACAAGTTTATAACATCAAATGAATCCAACCCCCTCTCTCTCTCTCCTTTTAAAAAACAAAACATGATACCCTGTCAGTTTGCTCCACATTTCAGTGAGGCAGCTCAAAAGTAACAAACTGTTCCCTGAGTACAGGAAAAAAAAAAAAAAAAGAAAACACTAGAATAACTTTTAAAGGAGGTAGTATAAAACAGGAATTGTATAGGTTCAAGGCAGTAGCAATACTCACCTCCTTCAACAGACTCTTCAACTAAAGCTCTGGCTTTTTATTTCTCATGGTGGACTAATCAGAGTTTTAGACTGGCATGTGGGTAAAGTCACTCCCTGAGCTAAAATTCCTGGCTAAGAGCGTACTAGGCGAAGGCAAGGAGCAGGGCTGCATCCTAACGACAGCTCCGAGACATATTGCAGTGCTAGCAGTACCTGCACTCAAGGCTGGGTAAGAATTAACTGTAGACTTACAACACAGTTTACTTGATTACATCTAAGAAGCATTTAAGGCATCTTTCTGTACTCCAAAGCAACTTTATGAATACTAAAAAGGCATAAGGCAAATCAGTAATTTCATAATCTATAATGCAAGGCACCGTTGCTAAGAAGTACTGAGATACTGGAATACTCAGTATTACCATCTATTCCATGACTACTCAGGCAGAGACAAACTGCCTGGAAATGCTAAATACTTCTTCGTTTTGCCATGCTTTTTAGCATTAACTGTCAATAGAGGCAATGTTTTATCATTGTGGGGAACCCAACATGTACCAGAGCCCTCAGGACTCTGTCAGCATATACCCTGTCAGCAGTTGCTGGCACAAGTTTGGGGGGGGGAAAAGGCACTGTCCTAGGCTTACTGGGGCTACGAGAAATCAAGAGGTACAAAAGATTTGATGTGGCTGTATACATATACATGAAAGCACCAACTCCAGTTTTCCCAGTTTTTAACTTCCTTTTAGTCAGCCACATTGAATCATTACATTTTATACTCTGAGGTTTCCTTCTTTTCAAAGACAGAGCTTCAGCTAAACAATCTTGTTCATCTACCTATACAACTCCCTGATCACTGAGTGTGCGCATGCGCACACGCACCCACACACAGACACACACACAGACACACACACACACACACACACACACACGCAGTCAAAAAAAAGAAACTCAAAATAAAACAACACTACTAGGAAGTATCATCAGTTCCATAGCTGAGACCAACTAGAACACAAATGAGGTAAAGCAGTTGTCATTCAGAGTTCACCTCTCGGCAAACTGAGGTAGATAGTCAGCAAAAGGGCCAAAAGCCTTCCCTTTGCTCCAGTGATACATTTTTAACTCTAGTCAGAAATCTTCACTGTCCTTTCACATTTGTTGACTACTGAACATTCAAAATGAGTGAGTTTTAAAAAAACAAAATAAGAAAAAACATTCAACAGAAATATGGGATCACCTGCTAGATTAGTCAGGCTTCCCACAAAAAACTTTGGCTTCCTGTTCATTGTCCTTCGAACAGACATACACTGCAAGGATGTCTGGCATGGCCCTAAGGATGTCAGTTTTGCACTGCAGACTGTATCTGAAGAGATGAGGTAGGAGTCTGGTCAGTAGCGAATGGCAGAGAACGCTCTTTGCAGTTACTTAAGGCAGGGTTCATGATGTTTGTACCCGTGTCACTGCCTACGGAAGGACTGGTGGGGGGAGAGGTGTCATTTGTCACAGCAGAGAGGTGTATCTCATCGTTGGACTCGTGAGAGAATCTCCCAGAATCTCCAGTCTCGTGGCTTCCTTCGCTGTTGGCCGAATGCTCCGTATCGGCGACAACACTGAACGGCACCTGGTAATTTGACTGCTGGCCAGGGGAGCTGGGGGAGTCATCCTCACTGATCAGCACAGTGGTACCTGGCTGATACAGACACACTGCCTGGACAAATCGTCTCTGAGGCTGCATAAAAAGCAGAGAGAAAAAGATTGTTCAGTCTCTGTAAAGCTGAGCCGTCATTTGAGTTTTTATTGCACTTCCTATCCTCTGTTCTGCTAGAGTGCCTATAACAAGCATTGGCTCCGAACAGCAATCTCGGCTTTCCTACAGGAGGATAAAAAGAATCAATCTCAAGTCTTCCTCATACTTTTCTCTTTCCTGCTAGACAAAATAATCCCTTCCAGCCAAGCATGGCTAACCAAGAATAATTTCACTGGAGAGACCTGTCTGGTATTTTAAAACACGTTTGGTAGAGCTCTCTCCCATCTCCTCATGCATATTCTTTAAGCATTACGCTTTGAGTGGTAGCAAGCATTTTGTTCAGAGAAGCACTGGAGGTATGGAGCTGCTCCTGCAAATATTTTGAAATATGAATTCACAACACGGATATCAAGACTTCCTATTCCTTAAATATACAAGAGCACAATCCAAGTTACAATTCAATAGACATAAGTTAGATGCCCAGTGGGTGTGAATTTGCATGACGATGTTCAGGATTTGGTTTAACATTTCATTTTTAAACTGTTATATTTTTAATGCAAACAGCAGGTGTAGCCAGAGCAACAGTTCCGGAAGCCAGCCAGCTCTAGCTCAGATTCCAAAATCCTTCAATAGTTTGAGTAAATCATTCAGTTTCCCTCTTTTGGTTTCTCTTCAGCAAACTTAAGGTTATAGTTATCAGAGTAGTGGAGGAGTCTTCATATGTTACAGTTTAATTTGTATGTAGAAATACATGTTTAACCCATATGGATATTAAGTCCATGCAGATGCATATAGGAATCCTTTTGCTCACTGATAGAGCACAGGCAATCAGCTAACTGTGAAAAGCTACAATACTTGACAACTTGGGGCAGAAAATGAAAAACTTCTCCACATGATTTTGCTAGAAGGTAGAACACCCATCAAACTTAACACAACTGGAACTATCCCACTGAAGTTTAGGCAACTAATTATGCTTTTCAATAAATAGAAATCTAAGTATCCTTCTTTGCAAATACAGGATACTAGAGTAAACTCTGCCCATTAGACCAATTACCTCCTCTGTTTTCAGCTTCTTAGTATCTTGGAAGAACAGCCACTTTTTCTTGCAGCTGGCCTTTGTGACAGGCCCATAGCTGTTAATAATCAGATCAGATCCTCCCTACAACAGAGAAAGACAGAGCAGTTTGTTTTAAGAAACTAAATTTCTAAGATACTTGAAAATATTTTTTATTCCTACCCATCAGCTCCAAACCGAAAAGAGAGAAAACTGAAGTCTTAGGGCTCAGTCAGTTTTTGTGGTCTAGTATTCGTACTGATCTAGCATCCATCTACTGCTCAAGACAATTCAAAGACCAGATCCACTTAACTTGGCAAACCCACAGGCCAGACACAATGGGTACAGTACTGCAAGCATACCGCAAAATATTCCCTCCACCACTGCTCCCTCTCTACTATCTTGAATGGGACCATTCACAGACACACTGTGGCTGCACTGGGGTTCTTTTCCACAGCTTTCCAGCTCTTGCAAATATCCCTAGGGAACAGCTGCCTTCAAGTTTGCAATGCATACAGAGCATGCCTCACATCTGTAGGTCTGCATGCGAAAGCAGGGCAGACTTGTGTTTTTATCAGACTGGACACCTGGACTGTTAGATTCTACAGAAAGGGACTACAGAGCCACCGACACATCCTGCCATCTAGATCATATTACAATTTGACCAAATATGAGCTTACAAAATATAACAATGTCTTACCAATAACAATACAGAAAAGATAGGGATATTTTCTTTCATACCTGTTTAGCGTCATACCTGACTAGACTGAACGGGCACTAACTGGACTAGATGCTGAAAAGGACTCTCTCACCTATTTCCTGGTCTTACAATAGAAAATCTTTGGATCAGCAGGGACCTCCTAGAGGCCCCAAGCCTACAGAGTGTTTATCCTTTGACACTGTGCCACAGGCAGACTTGGCAATCTGCAGAGTACAGCGTAAGACAAATGTATTAAAGCAGATCTCTGGTTGAACTTTAAAATGAGTCTTGAAAATTTGACACTTGAGTCACCATGCTTGTGCCTATCCCATTAATAAAGCTGCTGTTAATTTGCAGGGTACATGTTTTAATTCTGGTAAGGACTCAGAGGTAATAGCAATGAATTCTAAAGAAAGATCTCTGTTTTGGGAATGAATAAAGCTCACAGTACCTTAGCATCGATGAAGCTGTTTCCCACTATCATTGGCAATAAGGATTCTTCATTCTCTGCAATTCCTTCAATACTCTTCCCCACCTCATTAGCACTGGCTAATGAGATGCTGGTATGTGACAGCTGGTCAGTGCTTTGCTGTACAGGTTTAGGAGCAGATGTTTTCCTGCACAATGTTAAGCAGGAAAAAATTTCACCCATAGGAAAAAAACTGCATAAAATCAAAGCTAAAACTTCAAGGCTATTATTAATCAAGGAATATTGGTATATTCTTGACATTTACATTTTACTATATGATACTGCTAACTCTCTTGGAATTTAAATGTTATTGCTTGTGATAAAAATAACATCTGCTTTCAGCTAACCATACAGACTAAGCTACAAGCTTATGTGCAGACAGGAATTCTCATGATTAGTAATATTCCTTGGAAGAAGTAGCCTTTAACGACATTAAGGCCTTTCTACCACGCTACACAGAGACCATCTCCCAGTCCACACTTTCTCCTGCATGTGCGCTACTAAGCCCTTGTTATTAAAATATACTTTCAGGCAGTTTTAAATTTTTTTTTTCAAGTAACATATATTCTGATCCCCAAATTATGGGCAAAGTCACTGGACCAGTTTATGCTCCATAGCAGCTAATGACAAGGGAGAGGGAGAGGGAGAGGGAGAGGGAGAGGGAGAGGGAGGCTTGCACCAGTGCAAAAGGAACTGCACCATGGAACTGCTTCATGTCAGAGCTCGCCTCTTTGCTTGGCTGGAGGAAGCTCTTCTCCAGCAACACCAAAGGGTTAACACCTTGCAAGCCAGGACTGGACAGGCTGGAGGGTTATGCAGGAAAAAACAGATGATGTAAAGCGGCATGTTTATCTGACTTGAAAGGGTTTTTATTTGGAAGCATGCCTTGTATTTAGTTGTCAAAGCACCACTGACTCCCTCTGTTGCTTCTTCCTTCTTTTCACTGTAGTGGGGGCTAAGATGGAGTAAGAAGAGCCAAAAAAGCCTGGGGCTTTGTTACCATTTCTGACAAGAATAGGTGAAGAAACTGAGCGCTTCAGAGAACTTAGCGCTCTTGGAGGAGAAGGCATGTCCCAAGTGACTTGTGCTCATACAGAAACAGAACTTGGAGAAAGAGGACACTTTCTAGCACAAAAACATACCTGGCTTTACTGCGATAGATTAAGATGAGGATGCAGATAAGGATGCAGGTCAAGGCTATGCACACTCCAACAACAATGCCAGTCATTGATTTCTGGTCCAGATGGTAATAGTCAGAATAAGCTATAGCAAAAAAGAACATGGAAAGGCTCAGTAAATAAGAATAGTTACTCCCTGCTCTCTAACAGGAAATTAATGGGGTTACAGTCACAACCACACAGACAAATGACAAATGCTTCCTTTTAATGAGATTTCCAGACCTTCTCTGTCATACATTTTGACAATTTTGAAAATAAAACTTGTAGCACAGAGAAGTGTATGCAGCCATGGTGTGGGAGGGGAAGAAGGGGCCGCCCCACATCACAGACTCATTGTCGGTCACTATAGCCTGCAGCCGTGGAGCTCTCTCCAGCCCCATCCCTGGAGGGTGCTGTTAGAGAAAAGAGGGAAAAGGCTTGGAGAATTCCAGGCACTGCCCCTAGGAGGGTTCAGTTGGTTTTACGCTTTAACTTTGTATGTCTATTGACCTAATCCTGAGGGCCATACTTTGCTTACTCAGGCCTAAAATACCACTGAATTTCAGGAAGAAAGAAAAATCCCTGTGTTTTACTCACGATTCAGTGTGTAGCAACAAGAAAAGGCTAAATGGGTCCTATACCTGAATAATTACTAGCTCTTCTCTCCCCAGACATGTTTAAAATCTGTGAGAAGGCACCCAGATAAATCTCATTCTGTGACAAAGGCAATTTGTAATACCATTCTTACACAGAGAAACCCCTGAAGTTATCTAAATTTACTCAAAGCAATACACAGTTTTCTCCAAAGAGCTGCACATGGGCTAACTTCTGCAGTGAAAACATATGCTGGAAAATCACTGACTGTCAGGTCAGCTTGGGCTGCTTCAGGAAAGGGCAAATTTCAGCAATACTATTTGAGATGCCATCTCATCTCTGCTGGGCTATCTGGCTCTAACTGACCAAGTGATACTACTATCTCAAGTCAAATAGGAGACCTACTATAGCAAATGCCTTAGCAGAGCGACTGCAAAGTTGGAATTGATGTAAGATTAAAAATAGTTAAATTTTCTCACTATAAAGGCAAATTTCAAACCTCTAAGCAAAAGAATTAAACCAGTGTTGAGATGTACTGAGACATAAAATTCCAAAATGGCTTCATTTAGGAAAAAGCACTACACTGTTAGGACTGCCTCACATAAAACAGAATGGTTTCTCCAGGAAACAGTTACAAGATAAAACCAACAGGGACTTTTTTTCTGGTACTTGTGACAACAGGGATCAAAACATCGCTACTGACTTGTGGTATCTCCTGAATCCAAGCGTTTAGGCCTCTGATTAGACTCTGATGTCTCCTTTGGCAGGACAGCAAGCTCCACCGCATTTGAGAAGGGTCCTTCTCCCACCTCATTGGAGGCTGCTATTTTGACCAAGTAGACATTTCCCGCTACAAGGTTTTCCAGCAAAGCCATGGTCATTGCTCCTATGAAAAGATTTAATAAGCAGTCCCAGTTAGACAAACCCTGTGGGAATAGACTGAGATTTAGATACTGGGGCCTACGCTTTCTTTCCAGTGCCACCTCCAAATCTTGTTTGAGGACTGACCGCTTCTACATGTTCTAACCCGCCTCTGCAGGGTTAGCTGAGAACGGCGGCTCGTCCCTTCGGGGGTCTTCCCTCTCCGTACTGCTTGAACACAGCTCAGTGTAAAGAGGTGCCAGTATGCTGCAAAACCAAGAGTCAAGTGTTTGCTACAATACACAGCAACCTAACCCTAAACCTAGCCCTAGCTGCATCTCAGGGGGGCAGCATTTACGCTGTGATCGTATCTGCAAGGAGGCGTCCCAGGAGTTAACCAGACTTTCAGGCTCAAAAAGCAGAGCGTTAGATCACACATACATTAATCTCTGTGCCTCCTCAATCCCACTGTACCATGAATGTGAATAAAATTGTCATATCAAAATAATTAAAAGTTTAGTTTATCCAGTTTCAGGTCTATTTGGTAAAATAAACAGGACAGATTTGGAAAAGGTACATTATACTGCACTTTTAAAATAAAATTAAGCCGTATTTAGACTTGTGTAGGCTTGCTTGATTACTGTGCATCTAAGCAGCGCTACTAAAAATATATGGAAAACGTCTTTCTCACATGCTAAGGATTCAATTCCTTAAGTCCCTGAAGGCAAGAGAAACAGATTAAGAACATAAATAGGATTCACTCACACTGTCCTTACACAGGCAAAACTCCTATCAAAGTCAATGAGAGTTTTGCCTGCCCAGGGACTGCAGATTGCTGCTTACAATTCCAATTGCTTTCTAAAATGCCCATGCTGCTCCTGCTGCAGAAATATATCATTTTCTTTCCAAAATAGTGGCAGTTATAGGACCAAATCTATCCCCTATTCTCTTTCATGTATTCTATTCACTTTCTCAGATTTAAGTATAAATTTCAGGCTTTCAAATCATTTTCAGAAGCCAGACTTTATAGCATCATGGGAGCATATAAAATATAAGGTTGTTTTGTTGACAGAAAAGATTATACATTTGGCAAAAGGGAAGCTACTTCAAAAGCTATTTCAGCTCTTCCATAAAAAACACCCATTAGCTGAAAGCATTTGAAGTAAAATGTGAGGTATCTGTAACCAAAGGAGCTGTAATATTTAGCACCAGCAAGGGCAAAAGGTCACGTTTCAATATTAGAGGCTCTTCCCCACCAGCTCCTTTCAGATGTGCTGCATTGCTACAGCAAGTAAGCGCTTTGTACTGATTTACTGCACACCAAGTGTGTAAAGGCTGTAACTTCTGATCCACTTGAAGGGAGCTAGCAAAAAGGGGGAGGCGGGTGGAAGATAACTCACATCACAAATCAGCAACAAATTGCAGTTACATTTTAAATTGCACCATGGCTACCACAAGCTCAGTCAAGTTAGAGGGTTTTGTTTTTTTAAGCTGGTGGATTAGTAGAAATCTCAATATATAATCTAAAGTCTAGGCTAAGATTTTTATAGGTAGCTGGTTTTTTTCTTTTTTTTCCCTTGGTTTTCAGGATCTTTCTAGATACAGGGGAGGAATGGGGTTAAGATTTCAGGAATATTCTGCTGGACAAGTTTAATGACAAGATAAAGCAATGCCATTTATCATATAGGGTTAGCTGTTCTTGTCAGAATAAATGCAAGAAAAAAAATAAAAAAAAGCTCCTATCTCACATTACCTACAAAAGGACTGTCACAGGACTATTACAGTATTTCCCCATCCTCCCCCTACACACTCGTTTTCTTTCACAAGCATTTTACCTTTACTTTAACTAAGAGCACCACTGATTGTTCTAACGTGTCAAGATGCCTAAATTCCACACCATGCCTCAATCCCTAATATATCTGTCAAAATACAAAATTAGTGACTCTAAAGTTGACAGACTTAGTAATACACTGAGATTTATAGCTCTCCATTTGCCCATTCCCTCCAACACTTTCAGTAAAGGAACACATGAAAATGTTTATTGTTCTTGCCATCCCCTCATTTGAAATACCTCTGGTAAAGTATTATTTGAGATGCTGTTCAGAGTTTCACAGTCATGGATAAGCTGAAGTATATACCTGAAACAACACTTCAACCACCGTGCTGCATACAGCAAATGCAGCATACCTTCGCCAAAGTGACAGCATTTACTCTTCAAATACAAGCTCTCTGTGAATTTAAAATTAAATCTGCTGTATTTTTAGCGCATAAAAGTTAATATTAAATTGGTCCTTTAATATGACAACGTGACATTAGGTCACTTTTTACTTGAACAATTTTAGTAGGGCAATAGCATGAGCTCAATCTTCCCCTTGTAGTCAGAGCTCACTGATATTTCACAGACTAGTTATTTTTCATGAATTTCACCCAAACAATTCGTCATTTCGCTGTTACTCTTTACAGCGGACAATTACTACTTGAGCTGAGCTGGGCAAGCAATATTCTGCTCCAGCCGAGACAACGAGGAACTGCCACCTTTCAAAACGGCCCTGCGTCCCCCACGTTCTCTTTAAGAGCAGCATAAGGGACAACCACCACCTTTGAACAAAAAAACGTTCGCTCTCACTGACAGCAACGAGAATTGTCCTCTGTGAGTGCATTTTGAAAATCAGTAAGTTTTATGAGTTTTCTCTAAAGAAACTTTAAAGCATCACCCTCTGCTGACAAGTAAGCTTTCAGCCACGAAACAGCAACAAAACAACAAAACTGTAATTCTTTCTAGGCAATCCTCTTAATAAGCTACTCAGTACATGATTTTACTCTGTAACGCTGAGTTCCCCTCTCTGGTTTAACGCATTAATAGAGTATTATTTATTTTGTAGTGCTTCTGTGTATTTTGAATACCAACCTAAGAGCAATGCCTTTTTCTTTCTTTCTTTCTGGCTATAGCAGAAATCTGTTCTTGATGCAGCTCTTCAACTTGTAGCTTTATTCTGGAAAATGCCTATAAAAATTTGGACTATGTCTGTATCTAATCAAAAAGATGCGACTGCAGTTCACATCAACATACCTGAGTTACGGTTAGATTAGCTAGCTAGGGTTCAGCTGTAGAACAGAGCCAGAGAACTAAATTGAATTTGCAGAGCTATTTATTGAGGGTAGGGGAAAGTTCATTAAGCAAACTGAGCTAACTAGATTGGCCATGATTGAAAGAAACATATAAACCTACACAGCCATATTTATAAATTTATTTCTGGAGAGCAAGGCATCCCAGAGACTTCAGATTTGAAAGACTGCATTTACAAAATGAAACCACCACAATTACTGTTACAAGAGAACACAGATGTAATTGGATTTATGAGACATTTTAGTTCACATGCACCACTGAGCTCCAAAGCAATACAGACAGCTCCTCTCCCCTCACCTTCTGAGTATTAACTGCTTTTTAATACACTTTCATCACAACCCTAGGAATAATTCTAAACTAATTATAACTTTTATAGGAACATTTATATGAATTTCTTTTTTATTGTAGTCCAAGGGAGCTGAAAGTAACAGAGCGTCTTGTAAGAAGCATCATTGTTTGTCCAGCTCGTATGTTAATGATGTGAGTTTACCTTCTCTGTGTAACACTTGCCATTCCCCAGCAATCCAAGACTTCCTGGACGCATAGAGGATAGTATATCGTGTAACAACTGTTTCAGGACCGTCAGGTGGCTTCCAGGAAACCAAAGCAGTATCGTCCTCTATCAAAGTCACCTTCACTCCCACTGGAGGGCCAGATGGTGCTGTGAGAACAGTAACACAATACTATTAGGCTAAACTAATTTATATGCAATTAAATTGCTCAAAAAGATACTGATGTGCAGACCCAATGGCTACTGCTACATCCCAGATAAACAACACACAAAAACCCACATATTGAGTTTCTCTTAACATACGCTCTCCTGTTAATTTTGATCTGGTCAACAGCTTAGATTTTGTAAATGTTCATATTTTCATAAATGATGATTTCAATAATTTTCATTTGTAAACGTTCAAATGTTTATACCAGTTTCATATTTTCCCTTCAACTACAGAAGGGAACAGTTACTGACAAAAAAAGAAATCCCATCATTTTCCCCTTAAAGCGTACGCCCCAAATAGTGCAATGTTGAGAATATGAAACTGAAGTTTTTTGATTTTCATTGACCAAGCTGACAGAACAGCAAATCACCAGGTAGGATAGTAAAAAGGAAAACTGATGTGTAATAGTCTTACAGTTTCTAAAACTTCTGTTTTTAAAATACATTTTCACAGCATATGCTTATGAATCAGCTGTGCCTCTTTAGTACATATTTTAAATTTCTTACTAAAGTTATTTCCATTCAGTTGTCACTAATGGCATAAAAGTATCTCATCTTACATAAAAACAGTTGCTGATTTTAGGTAGATTTTAAAAGGGAATTACACTGTTCCAAAACACGTAGAATTTCCTCAAAGCATTTTTTATCTTTGAGAACAGTAATACCTGTATCTCAAAGGAAAGTATTTGTCTCTCCCACAGACAGCGTAAAATTAATAAAGCAACAGTTTCTTAGACCATTGGCTTACAGAACTTCCCTTGTAGAAGCAGCTGTGCCCATACCTTCTGGAAGAGTAGTATGGTAGACCACTGGACTCCAGGGACTAGAGAGCTGGTCCACATGCAGCCGAACTGCAAATTCATACATGGTTTTTGGCTCAAGACCTTGAACTAACATGTGAGTCTCTGACCTGTGCAGGAGAAGGAATAAAAAAAATTTAACTGCAGGAGTTGACTTGTTGATCCCAAACTTTTATGAGGTGCCTTTGTTATGGAGAGTGATTCCCACCATCAGTTCAACACAAGACAAACCAGTGCAAGTCCAGGCACATAGTTCATCTGCACCATCTACCTGAAAACATTAATTGATACTTGCGCTAACGCTGGAGCTCTCTGGAGGACAGTATATTTGCTGTGTTAACTTGAGCTCAGGCTTTTGGAAAGCTGAGGCGTAAGCAAGTCCAAGAACATTATGACCCAGAGAGCTAAGGTCTCCCAGACTCAGCTCTTTCCACATTCATCCACAGGACACTGCGTTTTAAGCTGGAATAACACTTTAACTACCATCTAGACCCACAGCTAGATGTAGTTGGTTGTTGAAGGCACGGGCTGTTGGCTCTATTGGCTATGCTTGGATCTGCTTTTCAGCTCACAGTACAGACAAAGGCTATGTGTGCAACTCCCCCTTGCACTTACAGCCTCCGTCACCTCATGTTTAGGGATTTTCTGTAGAATGTAAAAGCTTCCTACTCATCTTGTAGTCATTCATATTTGTTCAAATTTATAAATTGTATCATTCAAATTTATAAACTGTAAAATTGATTAAATCAATTTGAATATGGCAATTTAATATTTGCTCACAAAATCAATTGTATATGTTCTGCTCTGCTTTAACTCTGGGGCAAAATGTTAGTTTCGGATATACCAGGGTGAATGGGCAACAGTAGCCAAGCTGAGATTAAATCTCAATTTACAGTGGTGTTACTAAACACAGAACTTGCTTTACTTAATTTCATTTAGTATTTTCATCGTCTATACTGCAAAATCAGTCACCAATATTTGCAATAGTTTCATCCCATCACAAAAAGCAGCATTCATTGCTGTGCTACATATTTCACACCAGGAACTTAACATAGCAATTGTACTGTGTCTAATCATTAAGTCAAGAGGTATACAGTAGGGGGTGTGTTCTTTGAAGAGCAAAACATCAGTATCAGGATGGAGGCTATCTTTTAATGCAGCATTTTTATTCTGTTAGAAGGCTTGAGTAAATCTGAGTATTGAGGGAGCTACACACATACAGTTTTCCCCTGCAGCACCATGGCCCGCACCCACAGGCGGTCACAACACAGCAAAGTCTTATGCTTCTGGATGATCGGGGTACGGAGTGGAACGCTAACTTGGGCAGAATTTCCTCCATGTCCTGCTGTTCTGTGGCCTGTGCGTTGCTTCTGTGAACAGCAAGCTGTAGTTCGTCCTCAGGCTCTTCCTAGCAGGCTACCATACGCTCAGGAACGCGTCATTCCCAAAGACATGCTCAACCCTCAACATTCAGAATTCTTGCTGCCAGTCCTACGATCAGATGGTGGACTAAGCCCTGACTTCATCTACTTTACATGTAGCTGGTTCTGGCAATTTCTTTTGTTTGATCACAGAAGAGCTCAAAATTAAATTAAACTTAGATAGCTAAGAAGCTGTTAAAAATTCAAGAGCTTGTCCAGGGTTCCAGCCCCAGCATCAGCGTAGAGAACGAAGGGGTTCTAAGAACATATCTTAAAATAACCCAAGAAACAGAAGCGGAAAAGGCAATTAAAAGACGTCAGGGAGACTGGAAACTGAGGAGGCGGTATCTGGAGGTATCTGGAAATGGAAAAACAAGACTCATCTGTAGCACTGCACTTACGTTTGAAGGTAGAGAACCAGAGAAGCATTCTGCAGCCCCACCGGGTTGCAGCGGATGGTGTAGTTAATGACTTGCGCAGATGTGAAGGCAGGCTTTCCCCAGTGAAGGTAGATAGAAGATGAAGTGTTAGCTTTGGCGTAGAGGTGGTGAGGGGGCGGTGGTGGCGGCACCATCCGATCACGGACAGCTGTTTAAAACAAAAAAGAAGCATGAATTATTTAATGAACCATATACAGATGCTGGCAAGATTAAGAGATAGGTCTGAACCCACAGGTTTAGCTCCAAATCTGCTCCTAACTCAGTATCGTCTGAGGATCCAGGAATTTGGTTTGAGCTATTAGAGACCCCTAGGAACACCTAACACAGGCTCATGTATTACTTCTGTACTAGTCCCCTTTGTTTAGTTAAAAGAAAATCAGGCCTATAAACAGGAACCAGGGACAGATATATAACACATCACTGATGAGGCAGACAATCCAGCAAGGGTGGAAAATGCTGCTTGGTAGCGATCTTGTTTCCTTAGCTGCAGTTCATGAAGACAGAAGACTGTCTCAGAAATGCAGGATGACTAGGATATTTGTTACAAACATGATCTTTCTCATTCTCTACTTTAAGTTGAAATAATTGATTATTTATAGGTTAAAAACACATAAAAAGAGTTGCTGGGACCCTGAAACAGCTCAGGTCCTAATAAATTCTCTGTGCAGCTACAACACTTACAGACACATCCTGGAGTGCTGACCGTCTGGTCTGCCTGATAACCTTCTTCCATACTGTTATATGCCAGCAGCCTTACATGATACTTTCTTCTGGGATCTGCACAGACAGAAAAGGACTCAAGTCAAAAAACATGGCTTTTCAGACTTCTATAGATAGTCACATAACTTGATTCCACTGCAAGTTTGATCCAAAACTTCTCTGTTACAATGAGTGGACTGATGAACGGGCTGTGCGCCTGGAAACCTGCTTTTTTCTAGCCCTGTGAGTTTCCTGAATCTTTCTTCACAGACTGCACTGGAATTAGTCACATCTCCCAGTCTTGCTTCCAGTGGCCTGAATCAGAATTTTGTAATAGATCTCAGTGGGAGTAGGATTAATGTCACATTTCTATCCACAACAAATTCACACCTTCATAGCCAGAGAGCTAGATTTTTAGTAGTATTATTCAGCCCATTAAAAGTGCTTTCTGTAAGTCTGTCAAATAGCAGAGGATATGTTCCAGAGAAACCAACATTTATTTCTGGAGAAATAGGCTGGAATGAAGCAGGGCAAGGCTAAGGCATCCAGACAGGACCCAGTGAAGAAATGGGAAATGTTTCAGTTCCAGCTTCTCTGGGAATATACTGTGAAACAACAGTGCTTGTTAATACTGCCTCCAACTTGCAGCTTCCGCTTCCAGGCATTTTCTTGAAAGCCAGTTCTGGCATGCTTAGCAGGTCACCGTCCCGTTCCCCCTTCTCTGGCCATGGTTTGGGTGCCCGTATTGCAGTTTGCTGCCGCATTTGGTTTTGTTAAAGATCAGTGCAGGGTGCAGCTCCGTGGCCTTGATGCCAGGGAAAAATTAGTGCAGGGAGACGAGTTACAAAGTGACCTCAAGCTTTCCACAAGCGAGGGGCTGGCACGGGCACCAGCACGTGGCCAGTACAGGCTACCAGGATGGCTGCGCTGCCAGAGCCGGCTCGTCTGCAGCCTGCGCCCCTGGGATGCTGTTTGCAACAAATCCCTCCCACCCAAAGCCAGTCTGCAAGGTGGCAGGGCTGGCTACCAGCACGTGTAACCTCCTCTGGGTTCCTGCTGCACTTTATACCACTACTGACGCAGATATTAGGACGCTGTCCTCTTCCATTGTCACGGTCACTGAATCTGTTTCCTTCCACGTTATATAATGGTGTTGATCTTGTTTATTTTTTCCTTGCCCTAAAATATCATAATGTTATCCCTTCTCAAAATAAGCTATCCTCTTTCCCGTTTTATCTGGGATTTGATGCAGCTTCTCCCATGAAACAAACCTGAACACACTTCCCTGTGATTTCTTAAGGCAAACAGGACTCTTGTCTACATCAGAGCGTTAGCTCCCTCTGCAGTCTCTGCACCAGCAGTACCAGCCCAAGCAGATCTGGATTTGATGCTTCCCTAAAGGTGGCACAGTAACTTCCTAATGCACGTTCTGTAATATGTTTTCATGTTTATTTCAAAATAGATCTTTGCGTGCTGCAGTTACCCTCACAGGCCTTAATGAGAAATCAATGGGCAGGTAAAGTTTACATTTAGATTTTATTTTAAAAGACTATTTTACCAAGTCTAAATATAGACATCCAAATGGGGCTCCTAAATTTGAATTTAAATATTTCTTTGATGCATTTAACATTAATGGCAGAATAGGCAAGTAGTCATTCTTAGCCATTTTTCAAGTAGTCTTTAATGCCACAAGTAAACAATACACATAGCAACTTGACAAAAAATGGGGTTTTTTTCTTACACGAGGATAAAATTATCATTTCATATGATTGTTTTGAAACTTTTTTCTACTTAACAATGTCGCTTTAACAGCTTATGAAGCCTGTTGCTTCCTGTCACTCACAATCAGAGAAAACAGGGAGATGAACACAAAAATATAGAAAAATCTTAAGGGCAAAATAAGAGAAAATGTGAAATTTTAATATTGAAAATTGAGAAGGATAGTAAGATACTATCTCTAAATTGTTGCAATCTCTTAGAAATCTGTAGAAAACATAACAGACATCTGAAGCGAGGGAGGCCGCCGAGTGGTGTGCTAAAAGCACTGAGCCTGGCCAGAAAGACAAGCAAGCCTCCAAAGAACCAAGTGATCTGAACACATCAAACTATGATAACCTCCTGAGAAGAATTACAGAGTATGCCCCAGAAAAGTAGGAACATATACTTTCACGTGTTCCTACTTAACCTATGTTGGGAACACATACATTTAGCACACAACTCAAATCTCAGAAAACAAAGCCAAGGCTGAAAAGGGAGACCCTCAGGACACCTTTCAAGTTCCAGTGAGAAGTATGCTTTGGAGGTGGTTACAGTAATTGATTCTCCCATCCACTCTGAGAGAAATCTTGAATCCTAATACTTTTTAACAGACCTTAAAGAGATTCCACACAAACAAGCGGCATCCAGCCGACCCAGTGTCACAGTCTATCTTTTGCTTTGCGAGTTCCTGCAGCAGAGACCCCTGCTGCATTTCCGCAAGGCACAGGATGACAGACACGACAATTTATCATCCTGCCGAGCACCTTCAAAAACTCCGTGCCCTTTGAAAGTGGTCACCCAGAACTGATCATCTTCACTGTGAAATGAAGAATAGCTAAGGTCTAGTGCCCTGCTGAGCTCAATGAGAAGCCTGTGAGGTCTGTTTATCCTCACTGCCTTTTTTTTTTTTTTTAAACCTGAATTCCTCATTAACACTTGATTGGGGAGGAGAGGAAGAATAATGAGATGTGGTAGAATGCCGGGAAAATTTAACTCCCACTAAAAAAGAAGGTAATTTTTCAAATGTCTTCAAGGAAAATGCTCTTTTTGAACTGTACTTTTCAAAGTGTCTTTACTAATGCAACACATTTAGATAAAGCACAATATTGAATACCATTTATCTTACTCTTGTATAATGCAAAAAGTTTCCAAAAAAGTTATCTTTATATAAAGAACCTGTTTAAAAATATAAAGTTTCTCAACCAGTCGCTACCGTTTAAAAAGCAAGGTTCTTTCCACTTTGTGCTCAGGACATCACGGTTCAGTTGGTAGCAAGACTAGTTTAATCTGAAAGCGAAGTCACGATTTTCACCAAGCCGCCATGCATCACTGCATCAAACAAGCTTCTGTGGTTGAAAAAACATCTGTTGGTACGTGTAACTCAAATAGTAACCAAAAACCACTACATTACGTACTGGTCTAGAAAAACCTAAATATTAGGGTAATCTAAAAAGGAGAAAATAAAAGAATTAAAGACAGTGTACTGAGCAGCTAGACATACTGATGTAAAACTTGCTTCACAGATTACATTTATAACATCAGCGAAGACTAGTTCAAAATAGCTGCTGAGACGTTGTTGCACGCTGGAAACAGCTTCACCATAAGCAAAACAAAACGACTGTTGCCAGAGATCTGCCTCCAGCTACGGCACATACTTGCACACCACTTGCTCTACCAAGTGGAGGAAAGCATCTTTCGTCCGAAGTAGCCTCTGTTTAGAATATTATTAACAATTATTTGTTAGATTAGTTTACTGGCTTATGACGTGATTTATTCCTAAATGGCAATCCCAGCACAAACTTGGCACGTACGCTTTCATCTAGCAGTCCCTCAGCTGGATCAAACGTTCAAAGCCAGACATCTCCTCACAGAGAAAACAAACTTAAGGAGCTTCCTTATCTTAAACCAGCATAGGTATTCTGAATAGTTTACCCATAAATCATTGATAAAAGATTGGGGATGGCATGGCCACCTGGGGGGCTGACAGTCTCAAATTTAGTATATGCCAACCATGCGCATTAGACAGCAACAGGAGGCTGCAGAGGCTCGGAAAGCCGGGAAGCGAGCACAGAGGCCATCATTCATGCTCGCGACAGGCCCAGGAGTAACACATCTTTCCACAAAAGAGCTCTGCTATTCAGCAACAAATTAGGCCCAGCGATTCACTCAGCTATTCAACATAAAATTCAGTTTAAATAAAAAACTTAAATCAAGATTTGCCCCTGCGTTTCTGTAATCTCTCTGAGCAGCCTGATAACACCATCCATCATCTCAATTAATTCTATTGCAATTGCTGGCATTCGGGTAATGGTTAAAGGTTTTTTTCCCAGATACAAGGTGAACAGGACTGATTTTGTAGCTTATTTACCAACAGGGTGATTTTTTTTTAAGTTATTCTGTTCCTGTTGAATGTTTTTTATTAATGCTGCTGGCTAAATTATGATGTCGTGAAATTAAGTAAGTGTCCCAGCACCTACAGCTTTTTACAGGCGTTTTTATTGTTATTACTTAAATATAATTAAATCAGCTGGTGGAAAGGACACAGAAACTACGCCGCTTGTACAACTCAAGGGGCCAGCACTGATGCTGATGTAAGCATGCTAAAGCTAATTCACAAACTTTATTGTAAGAATGCCTCTGGAGTACACAGAGACCGTCTTTTAAAAGGCATTATAGCCTGGATGCGATAAGCTGGCATAGCTTTACAGAGCACGATTGGATCTGCTTCACCCATTTTATATAACCCAAACCTGTCAGTATTAAAAATAAATGAATAATAGTTGAACTAGAAGCACCAGTTTCACCTCTGGTAGCAATACTCCTATAAGCTAAGAACTGGAAGAAGTTAGCTATGCCTTGATTATTTTTAAATGCGCAAAATAGACACTGTCCCAAGCATCGCTGTTTGATACCCCCCCATATATACCCGACCAGTCCCATTGCCCCCGGCAGTTTTTGCCGGCCGGGCAGTGCTGTGCTCTCTGGAACGCCGTATCCCGTCTTTCACTCTCCCATAAAAATCTGCAGGGAGCCCTTAAAGCCTGAGCGGGCTTTCAGCAGCAAGGCACGCGGGGGAGCCTTCTCTCTGCTTTGGAAACCTTTGAGGAGATTCTACACCTACGATAGAAGTATGGCAAGGCTAAATACAGTAAGTATGATAGAAACTTTTAAGTTGAACTATCATTTAACACATGGATTGTATAAAAGTAGCTGAAATTTGGTAAAAGTTCTGATGACAATGCTTTACTTCTGTATTTTATTATCTTACCACATCCCAGAGATGTAACCTTAGAGATTATGTTCAGTTTCTCAGAAAGCAC